CCTAGACCACCCATGCCACCTAGACCACCAAGTCCACCTAGACCACCAAGTCCACCTAATCCACCTAATCCACCTAGACCACCAATACCTGGGATGCCACCACCATAACCGATAGTCATCATTGGTAATCCTTGAAAGCCTAGACCACCACCAAGTCCCATACCACCAAAGCCCATACCACCAAGTCCCATACCACCAAGTCCCATACCACCGAATCCAAAGCCACCGCATGGATTTCCTCCACCTAGGGGAACGCCAACATAAATGACAGGTCGTCTTTGCCGTCCACGTATTGTAGGAACATAATAGCTAGTCCACGTTGTTTGTGTCCAAGGCTGTTCAATCACACTTGGTCTAAAAACAACATATATATTTGAATACTAATGGTAAAGAACAATATTCAATATTTACTCACGGATATGGATATGGATAAGGATTAACATTTCGGCCTGCTCGATTACCCATTCTAAAAAAGAACTTTCTTTACTGAAGAAATATTCTGTCAATGATCGACGGTGTCTTAATTGAGACAAACCTTTATGTAGCTTATTTATACTAGTAATGATCGTTGGTCTGTGTACAACTGATTGTAATATCTAACGAACAAAAAAAAAGACAAATAAATAGAGACAAAGAAAAAGAAATGAGCAGTGTTAATATAGATGATATGATATATATGTGTATGCGACATAAAAAAAAACCAAAAAAAGATACATGAATAAGAAGAGGATGCATAGTCACCTATGGATGTGTGGTAAAAAAATTAGATGAGTGATCGATTGATAGGATGCGGCATTGAATATCGAAAGTAGTATGCAATCATAAAGAGAGAGACGTAGAACAAAACTACTGTAAGAAAAAAAAAGAAAAAGAATGAGAATCAATGCAATCAAGGTAAAACAAGGACGACAGCGCGCGGTTACGCGGCCTAAACGTTGTGGTGTAAAGCAATCAAGCGTGGAGTAGTCACATCTATACTTGCTTCATTTTTCGATTAGCATATGCTATAATAGTGGTTTGGTGTTTATGTTTTAAAAATATTAGTAAATAGAAAGCTGGTGATATACTGTAAATAAAGAGTGAACAAAAACAGAAAAGCAAGAATACATGAAACAATGGCTAAATGTAACATTTTCACAACAAAAAAACATATCATTATCAAACTATCAAAAGAATAATAAAGGACAAGTCCTTTTTTCAAAATATATGCATGAATATAGAAAAAAAACAAAAATACTTTTGTTTATCATATTATATTCTTACTAAAACCCACTTGTATAAAAAATTTATAATTAAATTTTTGAACAAAAATGTTAAAAAGTAGTTTTTTTAAACATGTGAAATAAGAATATTATATCGATGGTTGAAAAATCTGATATTAATCAATGATGATTAATCAACCAATACAGTTTTTTTTTTCTTTATTTTTATATAAACATATTTGATATATAGGACTATTAATTTGAAAAAAATCACCATTTTGAAACAGTGATTTCACATATTTTTTCTTTCAATTAAAACAAAAATCGAAATGTTTATATCATATTTTAAATGACAAAAAAAGAAAGCTATATTAAAACAAAGAATAAAAAATGATATAGTCGATGTAGCCGATTTTAAACAAAATCTTTTGAGATTGTTATAAAGATGATAAAGAAATTTGATGTCGTATAGAAACTAAAATTTTTCTTAAGAAAAAAAAAATTCAAATAATTTTATTGAAAAATACAACCAAAGATTGTACTACGTGCTTGTTTACTGGAATACGATCTATAACAACTTTATTTTCATTTGAAATGAAAACTAATGAGTAAATCTGTATGCATGTATATGTATCTATCTATGTGCGCAATATATGTGTTGATTATTTGATGGTGTTGTTTTGACCTTGAAACTATAGCTAATAGTTATTTTGATAGATAACAAGTTAAGCGACAAAAGTTATAATCAATAATTATCACATTTAAAAACAACTCTCTATGTTTTTCTCTTTTTTGAACATACATGAATACAAGTTCTTTGATCCATTATTATTTTAATTATCATGTACAATAACAGTCTCAAGATTATCTTTATTAGTTAAACATTCATGAAAATCAATGATAGACTATTATTTTGCGCTCTCGAACAATTCATATTTATTTTTTTGTTTATGTTTTTGTTTGCGAATGTGTAGATGCGGTTTTATTCTAACCATAGATTTTTCGAATAGTGACAGCTATGCTCAGATAAGTGACACGAAGTTTTTTGACTATGGATAGACATATTGTAAACAGAGGGATTTATTATTGTCCCTCTCTTTTACACCACTGACAACACAACGGCCATGATTGATGAAAAAACATGTTTTTTTTGTGTATACCACAGTTATCGTTGAAACCTTCTCTTTACGCGTCACTGATTGATGCATGGACGACGCAGAGACAAACATAATAAACCAATTGTATTTTATGAGTGTAGTCTTTACAATAAGGGACAAGCGTCGGTGTCCCGTTTTCTAGCAAAAAAGGCTCTCTCTTTTCTCTTTTTCTCTTTTTTTTTCTCCCTTTCTCTTATATTGTCTAAAAAAGCAAAGGTGAAACGGCTTACCTATAAAATCAGAAATATTTGTATCAGATCGATTACTTGAGATCGACAATCGTCATCATCAGTTGGATAAAAGTAAGTGAATCGTATAGGATTGAAATCATGAGTCGTATTTTGCCTTTATTCGATAGGCATTAGGATTGTTCTCTCCTAGTATCATATAAATCTTACTGTATTTATTCTAGGCACTAGATTAGTTATATATCGCAAGTAACAAGAAATGGGACTCGGAGGTAGTAGACGTAATCAACAAATGTATGATCCATACTATTCAGGATTGGGCTATTATGATCCTTATTACGGAGCCGGTAGATGTAAGCTTTTATAATATTTGTTGTCTTCCACATATTATACACACATTCAACGTTCTTTTAGATCCATCGTATACGACAACAACTATCTATCCTCCAGCTCCCATCGCTCCCATTGGCTTAGGTCTTCCTAAGATCCGTGCCATCTTCATGCCTCAACCTTCTATGGGATTTGCAGCAATGCCAATGCCTATGGCTATGCCCATGCCAATGCCTGCACCAATGCCAATGCCTATGCCAATGCCAATGCCAATGCCAATGCCAATGCCTGCACCAATGCCTATGCCTATGCCAATGCCAATGCCTGCACCAATGCCAATGCCAATGCCAATGCCAATGCCAATGCCTATGCCAATGCCTTGTGCAGCACCAATGCCAATGCCTATGCCAATGCCAATGCCTGCACCAATGCCAATGCCAATGCCTATGCCAATGCCAATGCCTGCACCAATGCCAATGCCAATGCATATGCCAATGCCAATGCCTTGTGCAGCACAAATGCCAATGCCTATGCCAATGCCAATGCCAATGCCTGCACCTATGCCTATGCCAATGCCAATGCCTACGGGTTGTTGTGGTGCTGGTAAGTTTATAATCGAGTTTCAGTCGTTTTTTTAAATTGAGACACATTTTTTATCATAGGTCTCGGCAGTTATGGCGGTGGTACGTCTTTTTTAATACTTAAAATTAGAATTACATGATCGTGCTTGTTTCTAGGTTTTGGAAGTGGTTTTTCAATGCACGGTGGCGCTGGTGGCTTGGGATCTTATGGCAGTAAGTATTACCACCTAGTCGACGAATACAAATGTTAAATGATATATCCTTGAGTTTAGGCTTTAGTGGTGCATTCCCTGCTGGATTCGGTGGTGGATTCGGTGGTGGATTCGGTGGCGGATTCGGTGGTGGATTCGGTGGTGGATACGGTGGTGGATTCGGTAGTGGATTCGGTGGTGGATTCGGAGGAGCTTGTGCACCATTAGCATTACCAGCTCCAATGCCTGTTCCTCAACCAATGCCTGTTCCTCACCCAGTTCCTGTTCCTGTTCCTGTTCCTCAACCAGTTCCTGTACCGCAACCATATCCTGTGCCACAACCAGTTCCTCAACCAGTTCCTGTACCACAACCATATCCTGTGCCACACCCAGTTCCTCAACCAGTTCCTGTACCACAACCATATCCTGTGCCTCAACCATATCCTGTGCATCAACCAATGCCTTTACCACCACCAGTTGCACCTGGACGTTCGCTTTGCTGCTGCATGCCAATTGGTCAATAAAAATTTTAGCTATATCAACCGTTAGACATTTGTTTCTTTTTTTAAAATTTTTTCTTTGTTGTGCTGACACATCTTGCTTTCTTTTTTTCCTGTACTTCTGGACTCCTGAAAACATCTTAAATATCACTCAATAATAGTGCAAGTCGATCAATCAAGTCTTTATTTTAAAAAAGCAAATGAGCAAATTAAAAATTACACACACAATTTGATGAACAAGAAAACTTTTTCAATATTATCGATAAACATTTTTGTCCTGGTAGTGAATTATAATGGTTGTTTCAGTTTTGTTTGAAGCATGTTTGTGCTTCACATTTTATTTCAAATTCAAAACGAAATTATTCGTAGCATTTTTTTGTTTTCTTCTTTGCGTGTGTGGGTTTTTACATTAAAGCAGTTATAATTTTTTTTTTTTTTTGAAGAAAAATTAACGAAAATATATTATATCCAATCATCGTCCATATTTTTATTCTCACTTTGCCGTAGATACATGTATGTAGACACACATGCTATTGATATTATCATTAAAATATTGTACAACTGAATTCTGTATTTTTATTACCACAAAAATCACCTAACTATGATGGTGATCACAGTATCTGTCTTTCTTTTTGATAGATATGTTTTGCTCCCTATGAATAAAAATTGGTTAATTGTGTGGTTTTGATAGCTTTCATTCTTATTTGTATATTTCATATATAATCATACACCAAAAAAAAAAAGTTATTGGTAGAAAAAAAATACGTGTTTGTAATCAAACTTTCGCGACGCATCACTAATTTTTGTGGCTATAAGGCAGGAACCTATTAATAATAATGATGATTATAACGATGTGGGTTTTTTTTTATGAATGAGTTATTTATTTTGACAAGATAAATTCGATAAGAATTAGATCGAACCTTTAGATATGAAACGAAATAGACATGTATAAATGTTTGATGATATGCTTAATACAAGTTGAAAATTAAAAAAAAATATGTTAATAAAAGCTATTGGATGATTTGCTCGTTTTAAAGTAAAATATCTATGTTTTTACAACGACATTTTTTTCAGCACTATGAAAAAATGTATATAAGTAATAAAGTGCAATAGAAAGATATTTCACGTAAACAGAACAGAGCAAACAACATATCGATATTATCCGATTTTTTTGTATGTTATAAAAAATATATCGATGTTCTTCATGTTCAAATGAAATTCATAAATACTAAAATTATGAATTATATTCTCAACGTTCCATTCAATAGAAAATATGATTCTGTTAGATATAGATTTAATTAGTTGATTTTTTTATTAATCTTATGTTGTGAAACATAATGATACATACCTCAAACAAAAAATTTCGATATTGAATATTATGACTATCAATTAAATTAAAATACTCTTTTCGTCTTGTTCTTTCATGTTAAGAGTGAAATATATTGAAAAACTATAAATGTGATCTGTTATTTTTCAGCAATTTCATGTCGTCTATAGAGCAAGGAAATTTTTTTAAAATATATATTTCAAAGAAGCATATACTGAAATACAGAGCATAAAATAAAAAGTTAAAAAATATTTATACATTAATAGCAAATATTGAACAAACTGATTTTTTACTTGATCACGAACATAATGTTTATATAACTCTTATTATTTTTACTAGAAGAAATAATTTTTATTTGAGGGAAGAGCAGAGTCATTTCACCGTTTAAGAAAAAAATTGATAAATAATAGATTTAATAACAATAAATAGCGAAGTGTTGGATTTGATTAAACAATGTCGACTGGGTATGAAAATAAAATTTTCTTATCCTTTTCCTGTGTCGAAGCCAATTTCTGTATGCTCGTTTCATTTATCAATCAGCCTTAGTGTGTGAATACTGAAAAAAATGTCGCTCTATACTTTGCTAGTAAAACTATATTTTCTTTTGATCGAAAAAAACGTTTTGCTTAATTTTTTAGAATATTACTCTACTATATGAATTGGAAAAAAAAGGATAAAACTTTTGTGGTAAACGGTTCAGTTTTTCAATTGAGTTATAGCAATAACAAGATTTTAAAAGTCACTCTAGATCTACTGTAGAAATCATCTTTTTAATTTTGTGTAAAATTTTTGTATTAACCAAGTTTATAAACCAGAATTTTTTTTGCTTTTCAAATTATGCTTCGTTTAGTTCTTTCTGATGTTCAATTAAGTTAACTCAAACGAAGTTTCTTCAATTGGAATGTTGTCGATTTTCATTTCAATGTACACAGAAAAAAACCAAGTGTCTTAACGCCTATTTTTTATAGTTTTTCATTCATAAACTTTGTCTCAAGCTGAAACCAAAGACATATTCTGAAAACACTTGGAAAGTTTTACAATTCTAGCGGAAAAAATAATTAAAAAAACATCGCAATGAAATAAAAAAAACAGTATTGATTGACTGTCAACAGATGACACCAGAAGTTATGCACTTGCCCTGTCGCTACGATTTTTCAGAAACTAAAGCAGATGAACACTTGTTTTTTTTAGCAGTGAATGACCATCATCCGTCCAGTAAAACAAAAAAATTATTAAAATCGGTTGAGTATAACTAGATTTATAGAAATTTCTGTTTTTGGGACACAACGGTACAATGTCTGTGCTCTTCACTCACGTATATTTAATTTCTTGCTATACGTTCGATGAGTAGACAAGCATACAACCACAGGCAAGATCTGTTATTGGAAGTTGTCAGTTTAATATGCATCAGCTCTCCATTATTGAGTGCGAAAAGGCCGATCAAAAAGCACTTAGATTAGATGAAAAGGAAAAAAGAAGCAAGAAAAACAGAAAACTTGACCGTAGGGAATATACCATAGTTGAAATATACATAATTGAATTGTTTCAAATAATATTTCTCTGTCTCCAAATTGATGGTTTCGCTGCGGTGAATTGATCAAAGACAGCAGGTGTAGTGTATGTGTATCTGTGGAGATGGTGAGAAAATTAGTAAACATTTGTTTTAAAGTGAGCTCCGTTTTCTCTCGTATGTGCTGTTATTTATTGTATCGATCGTCTTCATATGCTAACATCCATACATATTCAACATTATACGATATATATGTATACATATAGTTCTATATAATGGGTTACTTTAACGTTCCTATGCGAGAGACTGGTCTTACTTCTTATGGCACTACTTACAATCCTTATTACGATTATGGAGAAATTGAAAACTATGGTTCACATTATCAGCCTATTGCAGTAGAATATCCATCCTATCACGGTACTACTGGTAAACCATTGACGACAACGGTGAGATCTCCTTTAGGTGGTTTAGATATTCTTGGTCAACAAGGACTTGGCAAATACGAGAACATATATCCAACGTTTTTTAATTCAATGTCGCAACTCGATTTGAACAGACCCAAAGTTCGTTTAATTTATGTACCTAATCATGTGTTATGTGCATTTCAAAATTTACTTCCACAAGGCGGTGTCGGCTTTGCAAATTCTTTCATGGGTAGTTTCAATCCTTCCATGAGTGGTTATGGAACCTTTGGAATGCAGCAGATGATGCCTATGCTTCAAGGATCAATGTCTCAAATAGGTTCGAATTGTTGGTCCACGTCATTTCAAGTACCATCGATGGGTCCACAATATCCTTTCGGCATTCCTTGTCCTCCTCCAATGATTCAGCCAGCTATACCTCAAATGCCTATGCGTAAGAGAATTATTTCTTTTTTCTTATTAAGCGTACACAAGTTCTTCGTTAATATATTTACATTTAGTGAATTTAATTCTTATTTAAATGACACTAATAATCTGATTGACTTTTTCATGGAAATAAATTCTATATAGCTAGCTTGCCAATAATGCCATCAATTCTAAACCAGCAACCAATGTGTAAGAAATCAAAATTGCTCGTCTTGGATTGGTATTCAGTATTCTTTTTCTGACAATACTAATTCTAATTTAATAGAAATTTTCTTGGTTGATATATATTTTCTTTTTTCATTATTTTAGCCTATCCATCATTCATGCCCCAAATGTCCATTGGAACACCTTCAATGGGTAAGATTTATACTTCTACCTATTATGGTTCTTTTTTTATTTATAACGTTACATATTATGCTCTATTCAAAGATATTAACTAAATAAAAACTTTTATTTGCCAATATCTAACAATTGCTTCAATTTATTTAAATTTCATTCACCTATCATGCCGCAATAATCAACCGTACTTTCTCCCATGCGTCAGAAATACATTAAAGTATTCGAAGCTAATAAATATTATAAATAATCTTCTCTAGTATGTTATCCAGTAATGCTTTCAATGCTAATTGTTCTGCCTGCCATGCATAAAAAAATTTCTCTGCTTAATATTCGTATCCTTTTGTTCATGTATTAAACTGATGATGATGATATTAAATTAATAATAATCATGATTTTAACTAAAGTGTCTAATAATTGATTAAAATTGCTGTGATATTTTCACAGTTTGTCAACTCATGATGCCGCCAATATCATTTTCATTTCCAATACCAATTATATATTAACAAATGTCCATGAATGAGATTTGTTTTGCATATTAAACTGAAAAATACAATTAAGACTAGATTTATCAAAAATGATAATATTTTGTTACTCTTTTTAGGTTATACTCCACAAGTATTTCCAATGATACCACAACAACAAATCTACCCACAGGGTGTTTCTAGTAACTTTAGTGGAATTCCATTTTATGGAGGTATAGGTTCATTTGTTGACTATTTCAGGAAGAGACGACTTCACTTTCTCTAATTCTTAATTAATCTAGGCTTTGGTCAAGGATTGCCACTATGTGGAAGCCTTAATAACTACAATGGGTTTCCAAGTAATTAAAAACTACATAGTTTTTTTTTTCTTCATATTTATTTCTCTCATTTCCTACTATGAAGATATGGGTGGTAATATATTGGCAAATTCCAGTGGAATGAGTCAGCCAGGATTCGGCCAATCGGTTCTTGCAGGATATAGTGGTTTTGGTCAATCACCTTATGGTGTCTACGAGCAACCGGGATTAGGTGGATATAATCAATATGGATTTTCAGCATATTGTCAACCAGGATTCGCTAGTTACGGTCAACAACCCTTCGGTAGGTTCAATCAGTTAGGACTTTGTGGATTGCCTCAAGTTCAACCACAGTTCGGTAATATTAACGCACAGCAATTATCATACAATGCCTTTCCACAACAGTCATACAATTATTATCCAGGAGCTAACATCAACATATCAAGTGGTTTATCACAAATTAATGGTCTCTTTCAGTCGGGTATTTGTTCACCAGTTAGCAACTTCTCTCCAATTAGTCATGCTCAATTAGGATCATTTCCAGGCAGTTCTGGACGAATATCAATTGTCTGTTGTATTATTCCTCAGTAGATCAAATCCATCGTTATCATGAGAGGAGATAACAAAAGAAACTTTTGATTTATTTTTATCTTGATTTTCTTGTTATGACATACAGCTTTGTTTATAATATCCTTTTTGCTAAGAACAAATCAAAGGTCATGACTTACACAGTATTTTTTATTTATATATATAAATGTTATTAGGCAAAGGACTCTTCTATTTTTAAACAAAGTATTTTTGTGTCAGCTGATTATCTTTTTTGCTTCGTTTTTTGCTGCATTGTCACATAGAATAACCGATTTTCTCTTCCCTCTTCTAAATTTTGTTACTTTGAGTTATTAAGTATAGTCTTTTGTTTCTGCACAAACAAGAATTAAGCCATTCTTTTTGTCTCTACACATACATTCAGGTTTTGCTTAATAATCTTGATCTGTAATTGTTTTTGGATCTTTTTTTGCTAAATAATTATATTCATTTGTCTCATCATGATTGTTTTTTTTTCTTTTCTCCACATGAAACATATATATGTAGGTTAAATAATTGATACTTTGATTACATTTTGTAACAACTCACAAAAGAATTATTTCTTCAAGAACAAGAAAGGTAAACATAAAATAACATTGTTTTTGCAAAATAATCTCGTGAAACTATGAACATATAAAAAATAGAATATACAACAAAAATTATTATTGAATTATTTTTTGCAGATTAAATGGGACAAAAATCATTTTCCTTTCTTCTTGAGTCTCTCAGATGTACTTTCAAAAAGTTATTTGACAAAAATATTTTTTGCTCTAAAAAGCTGTTTCATATGTTTTTCTTGTTCAAGCAAAATTTATAGTATAAACACTTGCTCAAACATCTATATATGATTTGCAATCTTATGAAAATATCTATCGGTTTATGTAAGTCTTTTCTTGAAAAAGTAACATATTAGTTAGAATCAATGCATCAAAAATTGTATGTTCTTCATCTTCACGACTTTTTCAATATGTCTAGTACTATTATTCGTGGGAAAAAAGCTTAGAACTAATGACTACTAATATTTTTCTATGAATGTTGCAAACGAACATGTTTTCCAAAGTAATTGTTAACGTATAAAACAGTCGTTCTCGTGCTGTCGATTGTAAAATTTAATTGTGAACAAATTGTTGTCTTCAAAGTTGACGAGTACAAATGATTAGGTTGTATGAATTTTTGAAAAAAGACAATCTATGGAATTCTTTCAGACATATTGTTTTTGTCATTCTTTTATTTCACCATTATTCTTAGAATTATTTTCCCTAAAACTCTGCAATATATATATATATATATCAAAAGATACAGAATTTTGTAACATGTTTAGTATTTCAACAGAATGTGTTTATAAAAGAAACTTGCATCATTTTTCTTGCCCCGTCATAGTTGTATGATAGAATCAATATTAATCTTTTGAATTTTTCTTTAACAAGAAGAATTGATTTAAAAAAAACAAACGAAACACATTATACAGGTAACCAATTCTCTATCGAATGACTTCTTGAAAGTACATCTGACATATGGAAAAAAAGAGGAAATGATACTTGTCGTGTTTTATCTGCTTCATCGATTATTAGCCAAGGTTATTCACAGAAGAACTAAGTTAAATAAAAGAAAAAGGAATTGATGTTGATTATCTTTGAGTGAGCATTGTTCAAATCTATCAAGTATATAATATAAATTGACTTAATCAAATATACTAGTATTTAAAAAAAAAACAAGAAATTTTATTGCATATATTCATATTGATTTACTAATTTTCTTTAAAATGAATTTCGCCGTTCTTTTGTGTCGTTCAACAGTATCAGCTATCAGATATGTTAAATGATATTTCGGATGTTTTTTCCGAATTTACGCATGTGTTTTATCTATAAACTAGAACCATATCAGATAGGACTCAATATTAATCAACTGCAGATGTTAAAGAAGACAGAGTTTCCAATTATAGTTTCCTTATCATCTTTGACAAATATCAAGTTTTTTTTTTTTTTTTTTATAAATAATTTATTTAAAAAAAATTACTATCCATTACATAACTCTATTAATAATTGATAACGTGTACTAGATAATACTTGTTTTATAGTTCTTCTAGATAAATTATATTCCTTAATAAGAAAATGTATTTATTAGTATTTTAAATTTAAGTTGGATAAAAAACAGTGCCAAGTAAACCTCTCATATTTATTTTTCTGTTTTCTACATACATTTTTTTTCGCACATAGAATACTTCATTAAATTCTTGACTTATGTCCTTTAACAAAGAAAGAAGAACAAGAAACAAAAGAAATGTTGAAAGATCATATGAATGATATTTTCAAATTCTGTAAATATTTTGAATATGATACTATATTGTGATTAACGTTTTTCAACAAACATTCAAACATTGATGATTTCTTATATTTTACTGATATCTGAATGAGTGTAGTGATAACATTGGCATCAATTAAGTTTTTCTATAAGTAAGGAGTAAAATATGTAAAAGAAATAAATGATGCGTCTGTTTCGTCATCTCTTCTTCTCTAGTATCTATGTCTCTCTCTCTCTCGCTACTTTTTCGACATCAACAAGTCTAGAACTTAATGTAAAAAAAAAAAAGAGAGAAAATATAGAAGAATATTTTTTCTTCTTTTTTCTTTCAAGCTCATTTCAACATTCATCCTCATCTTTATTTTACCATCCATCACGATCAAGTTCTCGTAAGTTTTTATTTGATCATATTTTAAGATAGTATTATTCATCTCAAAGAAGCAAAAAAATCAAGAATCCTTTTTATCTCGTGATTAATTATGATGCTAGTTTTTGAACCGCGAAAAAAACTGAATAATTATTATGTTTCCGATGTTTTTCATTTTTCCTTCGTTTCGACTGACATACAAAAACGATACGATGAACAAAGAAGAAGAAAAAAAGCTTCCATTTTTCTCGCATCTTTGTCCACTGCAATCTACTTTTTAATAATAGGAGATTCATCCGCAAAAAAAAGGAAACATTTCTTGACAGAATTCGACAGACAACATTAGTTAATGTCTTATTCTAGTGGTTGATGATAGTTAGGATATGTTTTGTTTTTTTTTTATTATAAATAACAATAAGTAACATGTTTTCATTGCGAAAACAATTATATTTTGATTTATTTATATACGAGTCGTATGTATTAAGAAAAGAAACATTGTTTACATGTTTAATATTTTTAATGAAAATTATTATTACATCTTTTCTTTCTAAAATTATTAATTATGTAATAAGATAGATTAAATGTATGTGCATTATTAAAAGCATTGACGGCATTAATATGAAAGCGATACAGGCTATCGTTAAGTATGTTATACGAATCTAAAAAAAACAAGGCCAGGTGAGTTTCCCTTAAAAATGTTTTTTTTATCAGCCATTGAAAATAGATTCTATTCTATTCTTTTCTTTTTATTTCGTGAACTTATTTTGATAATGTTCATGATATTTCGCTTTCTTCTCTTTATTTCATTGGTTTATTTTTACATCTCAAAGGTATTATACCAAGCAAATAAACTGCATAGCTCTGACTATATATAGATCTAAGTAGAAGAAGATAACCATCTTTATTGTTTCTTCTATTTGTAGAATAGAATCAATCAAAAGAAAAATGGTCCGCCTTTCTCATTTCATATTTGTTATGCTTATTGGTTTAAGCATCGTTATAGCCAAAAGTGATGTTAAATTTCGTAAAATCCAACAAAAACGATTTTCTCGAACCAATGAACAAATACGTACTTTACGTAATCTTGTGGGAAAATTAGTTGATAGTGAAACAAATACTGTCTATACTATAGATGGACAAAAACAACAAAGTACATCATGGAATTCAGGTGCAACGACAGTAGCACCATTTTCACCCAGTCCACCGCCTACTCCTGAGGAAATCGCGTGTCTTGCAGCATGTCAATCTTGTGTTGAAGATTATCCGATTGAAAGCGTAAGTTTATACATCCAAATAATATTCTACTATCAAAAGTATCTTTCTTTAGAGCAAGAAGAAATCAGCAAATAATTGTGGTCCAATGTGTGATTGTGCTGACAGTTGCTTCCGCATGCCAGTCCAGCAGGTAGGAACAAAAAAAGAACAAATCTCTTTTGCCTTGAATATTTAATTTATATATAAATATTTATTAGGTTGGTAAAATATATGGACAACGTGCGAATACAGATTATGGCAAAGAATGTTGGTGGAGAACCTTTAGTGACATGCTCAGCAATGATATGTTATCTTCAGCATAAACGACCATTGCTTACAAGTATTTTTTTTTGCCTATCTATGTCTCGCATTTAATTTTAAGCATTTTTCATTATAATTTAAATATACACTTATGTCGCGCCTAAATGCAATTGTCATGTTCTCAAATATTTCAATAAAAATCAGACATAACATATTCATATAACAAAAAAAAAAAAGAAAATTTTTGTATATTAAAATCTTATATACATATGTGTATGTAAAAATAAGTGAGTACTGATCTGTGGTCTTTGTTGTGTTTCTTTTTTTACTTCATTATCACAAAATTGATTCCCAGTTGTCTAGATGAATAATCAATAGAAAATTGAATTTTATCTCTAAGGATCATATGATTATTGATAAAAAGATAACTCAATTGAAATTGGTACTTAATTCATACAAATTAAAAATATTTTCTATTAATTTTTAAATTGTTTTCAAAAACCCTGCTTCAATTTCTGATGATATTTGTTATCATAAAATAAATTATTATCATTAATGAATCTATTTTAGATATATTAGAAAAAAAAAATTTGATGCCATAAATACATCAAAAGCATTTTATTTTTTAATTATTAGAACTTTTTTTTTCTAATGATAAATAAAAAAAGCAAGAATGAACGTGTTTTATGATGATCATCAGCCATACACTCAATTTCATTACGTTTTTTTTTGATGTCAAATTATATCTGATAATGTCAAGTAATAAGTAAATATCATGCATGATTTCTTGCATTAATGATGTGAACTTCGACTTTTTATTCAT